ATACTGGGTTTTCAGTCACTCATTCGCTCACATTTTGTTTGATAACATTCATTAGAATCAGCTAATATAACATCAATCCCTTATTGGATATTGCCTCCCCCTTCACCCAGCTAACCAAAAGCTAACCATTTTCACTTCTCTTTTCCTCTCTTCCCATCCTTGTTAATTATCTAAGAATGATTCTGAGTATAAATTCCCCTATTCCTTTGTGCTCTATAATTTGTTGAAGCAACTTACAGACCTCATATAATATACTTATGACTATAGGTTGCATTATGGCAAAGTAATGTAAATCAGGATTGTCACAAGGAAGAGACATGTGAGGTATGTGAGTCCCAGTGCAGAGCTCCCATGTCCTGAGGACGGTGTGTCAGTGTAGACACATAACATCCATGAAGATGGAATTTCCCTTAAAATGTATGCTTTTGTGTTGCTGTGATGTGGTGGTGGGTTAGGTGCCATTGAGATGACTGCAACTCATGCTGACTTCACAAAGAACAGATCTGAACCTTGCCTTAGCCTGTGCTACCATGGTCTCTGATTAGCTCAAGGCCATTGTTAGAGTCACTGTCAATCCGTTGTTAAGATGAATGCTTCTATTGTTGTTGTTGTGAAACCAACCCATAGCTCCCCCCAGACCCACAGGTTTACAGAAGCAGTTAATTTCATAGGAAGAGATTGCCCATCCTTCTCTTTCAGAGCAGCTGGTGGGTTTGTACCACAGCTTCTTGCCACCAGAGCTCCCTTCTTTACTGCTATTAGATTAAAAAAAAAATACTGTGCTCGCTTCGGCAGAACATATACTAAAATTGGAATGATACAGAGAAGATTAGCATGGCCCCTGCGTAAGGATGATATGCAAATTTGTGAAGCATTCCATATTTTTAGGCATCTCTCTCCCTGATTTCAAATCCTACTACACTGCCGTGGTGGTTAAGACAGCATGGTACTGGTACAATGAGAGACACATAGATCAATGGAATAGAATTGAGAATCCAGAAATCA